TGGAAAAAACTTGCCTTGTTGAGCCTCTCTATTGTAATTTTTGTACTTTGTCATTTATTTCCACTTTTTATTGTTTTCTTCCTTCTATCGCATTTTGATACAATTTGCTTTTCAATTTCTAACTTTTTGGATACATACTAAGGTAGTTGAGTTTATGCTTTCTTTTTTTCTAATGCATGTATGTAAGGCAATCAACTGTATAAGACAATTTTGATATGTTAATTTTTATTATAATTCATATAAAAAATCTGAATATGCAATGTAATCACTCTTTTGAGCCATATGTAATTTATAAATATATTGTTGCATGAAAAATCTTACAAGAATTTTCAAAATTATATAGTTGATTTCTACTCTACGTACACTGTAGTTAGAGAATTTGCTGTAATGTTAGAAAAGTTCTAAATTTGTGGTTGAAATGTAGTTTTGTGAAAGAGGGACTGAATTTCAAATCTCATTTGCTGTGAGTTAATTTAAATTTAAATTTGAGCGTCACACTTCAAGCGCCCACCTGTTAAACTGGCTAAGGACTACTGCATCAACAACACGGTTCTGTACATTTTTATATGTATATTCTTTGAAATACGAATAGAAAATGTATTCTGGGAAAATTTCTGTGTGGACTTTAAAAGCATGTGAACTCTGCACTCGCATGTACTGTGTTCATGTGTGCGTCAGTGTTGCTAATTGTCTGGTTTAAATCCTTCTGTAGCCTCACTGTTGTATCTGCTCTTTTGATAAGTAGGGAGAGTGTTTAATTTCTATGATCAGCCTGTGTTATCAGGTAGACACAAATTTTAAAAATCATGTTATTAATGGTTTGGAGAGTTTATCATTGTGAAACGTGTCTTTTATTTCAAATAACGCCTCTTCCCTTCTCACGTGACGGCCCTTTAACTGCAGCATTTTTCTACTGGGTGTGTTGCACGGTGTTTCTTGTTTTAATCTGTTTACTTTCCTCTTGCCTTATGCATATATTTCAGGTCTTTCTCGTTAAATTAGCTGCTGATTATATTCAATTAGTTCAAATACTTACTATTAAGTTTAATTCAGTGAATTTCAAGCGCCCACCTGTTGACTTGGCTAGAGACTACTGCATCAGCAACACAGTTCTGTACATTTGATATTTACATTCCTTAAAATATCAACATATTTTAGGAAAAGTTCTATGTGGACTTTAAAATTAGTGTTTGAATTGACTTTGAATTTGACTTTAACATTAGTATATGAATTGAAAATTTATTTATATTTAACATAATTATTTAATTTAGATCGAACTCTACCATTTACTATTTTCTTTCATTTGTAGCTCTAAATATACATTACTTTTTCTTGTTTTATTGTAAGTATTTCTCTTGTTCCACTTTCCTCTATAATTCAATGTGCCATTAAGTATTCTTGTAGTGGTGCTCTACATTTTCAACACTCATGCTTTACTTGTTAAATTCTAACAAATTATTATTTTTAAAACTTTTCGAGCAATGAAAAGACCTTATTACTTTCTACCTGTATTTCATCCTTGTTGCGACATTTGCTCATTTGTATTCTAATACCAGTACCTATTGCCGATGAGTGGAGTTTGACTCATAGAGACCATACAGGACAGAGTAGAACTGCCTCATAGGGTTTCCACAGTGCAGCTGGCGGATTCGAACTGCTGAACTTTCGGTTAGCAGTCGAGCTCTTAATGACGGCCACCAGCGCTCCTGTATTCTAATACAAATAAGCATTTTCAAATTGGAATCTATATTACTAAAGTTTTATCATGGATAATATCTAGTCAATATATAACCATACTCATTTAGATATATCCACTAATTTTTTTCCTCAACTCTTCTTTCTATATATGAAAAGCTTCATACATCATAATTGTTTCTTATGCTGAATAGGATGCTTTGTTATTTCCTCGAATAAGAGTTAGTTGTAATTAGTTACCTCTTTTTAAAATAATTCTTGAAAATGACTTTATCTTATGATTATGTTAGAAAGACATTTTTCTCGGAACTGAACTCTAATTTAGCCATCTCCCATTGGACACTTGTTGTTATTAGTGACCTTTGTGTTGATGCCAACTGAAGGCGACCTCTTGTGTGCTCTAAGGGTTTTCAGTGCTACAACCCTTCAGAAGCAGATTGCCTGGCCTGTCTTCCTAGGCAACTCTGGGTGGTTTTGTTTAGTAGCTGAGGGCTTACCTGTTTGTGATACCCAGGACTCCTCTTTGGACACTAGGTTCTGCCATTATTGTAAGTAGTCACAGATAGATAAAGATATACACACATTTACATCATACAAAATAAATCCTAATTATTCCATAATTTTGGGTAATTTTTATCATGACATTATAGTTTCTGAGCATAGATTTTGTAAGTGTAAATGTCAAAAGAATCAAAGGACAAGATAGATAACATTATTTAACTGAAGACACCAGAAGTGAATGTCTGAGGAAGAGTAAACATAATGACTTCAATTTAAAAAGAGAAGAGTAGTGAGCTCTTGTTTGGTGTTGTTGGGGAATAGTTTCTTTTTTTAATAATATAATGTGCATAATAGAAAGAGGGGAAAGAGAAGATTATTTAGTTTTTGAAAAAGAAAAAGTATAATAAATACAAATAAATTTATTTCTAGTGCATATAAATACATGCACAGACACATATATACATATGAGATTATTAATTTAGTCTATGAAAATATTGTTGTTGTTATTTGCCAGCAAGTCAATTCTGACTCCTGGTGACCCAGTGTGTTCAGAGCAGAACTGCTCCATAGGGTTTCCAAGGCTGCAACTTTTCTAAGCAGATTGTGCGGCCTGTCTTCTGAGGAGCCTCTGGAAGTAATATGTAGAAAAGAAGAACTCAGTGCTACAGTTTTGCAATTTATTCTAAAAGTAGGACTTAGACATCTAAGGTAGTGTTAACATGGTAATAGTTTTAATAGTTTGTGGTTCAATTGAAACAAGCTAACTGCGTGCGTGATCAAATCCTGTAAATGCAAAATCCTATAGAATATGAGAAGGATTTATCAAAAACACTTTAAAAGGGATAATCTATATGACATATTTAAAGATCTACTTTGTCCTTTCAATAGGAACTGAACATCTCCTATGTTCTGGAGGTGTGTGATGAGATAAACTGACTTCAAAATAGCCCAAGTGGGGATTTCCTGTTCAAACATGAAATAACACATTGAAGAGCCTTCTACCTTTTCATCTCTTGCCTCACTCTGAGCCCTCACAGGAGAGTCTATGAAGGGCACAGATATTCTTTGTGCTTTTGCAGGATTTATGTCTTTAGATTTCGCCTTCTACTATCCTGCTGTAGTTGGCCCCTCTGGGACATTAACAAGGCCTCCCCACTAATGGACGAACGACTTTCCAACTGAGAGAAGGTGTGGGCCACTGCTCTCCTATCTGTGTTCTAGCCCACCTCATTTAGTGGGAGGTTATAAATGCTGTGCATGATGCCCTGAGGGACTGTTAATGTACAATAGAATCACTGAGAACACTGGAGTCGGGCTGAACAGTGAGCCCCTAATATGAAATGTGTTGGAGGATTTCTTAATTTATTCAAATTATTACATGTGGAGAATTAGTCAAGTGCACACACACACACACATTTGAGTTTGTTAATCAACATACTTTAAAGTGAAATCCCTTAAGCACCATGACAATGAGCAATTAATTTTGCATTTTATATTTAGTTCAACAAGTGTCTTTGTATCATAATGTAATAAGCTATGTTTAGCCCAGTGTTTATTGCTAGATTCTTAAAAAAAATGATTGAATGGTGCAAGGTCAGACATAATTGTCATTCACTTACTAAGATTATGGACATGCAGTTTCACTTTTTTCAAAAAGGAGGATGAAGTAGGTTCCAAAAAGTGCCAATTTAAAATTAATAATAAATTTCAAAAGACTTAAAGTAATTTAGCAAAACACCAGGGAAAAAACACACTAATATAAGAGAACGCTGTCTAATGAGTTATTTTGCAATTCCTACCCAATACGAATCAGAAGCAACAACAAAATACTGCAATGAAAATATTAATTAAAACTGTTATTATCTGTTCAGAGCTTGTAATTGCCAGGTTAAGCGTTAAGTACTTACATGCGTTACATTTTATATATTATTATTCGCATTTTAGATAAGAATATTAGATTACTAGTTATTAAGCACGTTTTTAACAGTCAAAGCATTGTAAGTTTCAAAACCAGAATTCAATTCTTGACCTCTCTGACCCCAGAGTCCAATGAGAAAATCATTAAACTACATTACTGAATTACACCAGTTACTTACACAACTAAAGGAACCCACACAGACTGTGACAACCATATTATCTTTCTGGAAGCTGGAACCGACAGTGTTCTTCCGTAAATGGGATGCACTTTTATTTATCAATTTGTGGTCTCTTGTTTTAACAATAATATCAATTGCCAATAATTTTTATATAAGAAATACATTATTTAAATTGTTCAAAATGATGTTTCCAATAGTCTTTAAATTGTTAAGTTTATTGTGTAATTATTCTGATACATATTTTCTTAAATATGTAATGATTTCTCAGAACTCTCCATCTGTTCACTAATAAGAAAAAGATCATACAATAGCCCTTCATCTCCTAATAAATAAACATAAATCACTAAATTACGGTACTTTACTGTAATAAATTTTGATATGCGCTGACCTGCCAATTCCCACTTCTTTAGAGCACTCAGTTGTTAAACATTATTGTATTACAATATTGTCATCAATCAATGCATCCTTTTTCTTATTTTACCAATACAGCATTTTAATTTTTAACCAAGATATTATAATAGTTTAAAATATTTCTGTGGAATATGACTTTTAATATGTAAGATATTCTTATTTATGAACTTCTTTACTCTTCAGTATTTATTGCTTTCTATTACTCCAACCAAAAATATATTATAGAAGGCAGAATGTCCTTAAAAATTACATATTCCTCTCTGAGACATTTGTGTAAGGCTCTAAGTCAATTAGAACCAGAACTTTACATTCTCAGTGGCAAAGTGAGCACTGACACTTACCCTCCTCCCCACCTAGTTTGATCTTGTCATGTACACAGCACGTATTTCCTTCTCAAGCCCAGTTTCTCATAGAGCACAGACCTTGACACCCCTCAGCTGCACAGATGAATAATCAAACAGTAACTTACTCAGAACTGAATCTGGCCAAGAAGCCAAAAAGGAAGAAAATCAAACCTAAGGACGCTGATAGCTCCTTTTGAATCACTGAGAGGGAAATAACTTGTGTGGAATTAAACCTTCACAGTGCTTCTCAAGATCTTCAAAAGAAGGACAAGACTTTCCACTGCAAAGGTAAATCATCTAATCAGTTCTCAATATAACTGCCCTAGAATATGCAGTTCTGGTGCAGACATGTGGGGAAAGAGTGAAAATGAAGACAGGGAGCAAGGATAGTCAGAGTAAGGGAGTAGGCTCACTGGTTTTCATTTTTGAGGAGCGGACCTGAAGTACAGATATCATGTTTCCTAGGAAATTAGAAGGTTAATTCTGTTCAGGCATTGTGGAAATTTGTGGGCTTTGAAAAACAACTCATGGGCTATTATTTTACTGACAATGCCATGGTATATTCTGAGAGAAAAATTACAATGTGGACTGTGGGTTCAATGTCCAGTATTTCTGTACATGATTCCCTGTGCATCTGGGTTCTCCTGTATGTAAACACTCTGAACACTGGCTCCATCCATCCTTTCTCAGTGTTTCCATTTCTCTCTCTGCACATCTCCCATCACCTCCAGGGAAGCTCATTGCTGGGACCCTGGGACTCATCTGCCTTGTCTTGACGGCCGGTGTAATAACCATGACAGTCACAAGTCATAACTGTAAGTTTTTGAAAGATTATGAGGGAATATTCCCTGTAAAGATTTGAAAGTGCCTCTGTATATTTCACATTTTATGGAATAGAATTCTCATTTTAATGTATGCATTTTTGTCATATGTTTGCCAGGTTTTTTAGTCTTAGTAGATAAAGAATGCCTCCTCAATGTGCATTAAATGTGGAAAAGTTACTCAGAGTTTTTCAAAAGTATAAATACAGAGAATGATCGTAGAGAGTATATGGTTATAATTCTAAATGTCTGTATTGTTTGTGTGTGTGTATACATGTGTGTGTCACATCTCAACGACTTGTAATGAAAGACTGAGAACACTTATTGTGAATAAAATTTGATATTTGAATGTAATTAGGTCAAATACTGTAAGAGGTGATAAAATTTCTCCATTAGACTGTTCATATGTTTTTGCAGAAACATTGATTACTTTACTAATTTTTGGTTAAATAATTTTTAATATACATTATTACAATTTTAAATGTTATACTAAATTTGAAACTAGGAAACTAAAATTATTATGATTTATTACAGAAATATTCATCTCTCTAATAATCACTACAATCTTTCTAGCTATTGGAATGATGGATGAGAACAGAACTCAGAAAGGTATGTCATAATTTTAAAAGTTCTTATATAAACCAAAACCAAACAGATTGCCAGCGAGTCAATTCCGACTCCTAGAGACCCTATAGGACAGTTTAGACCTGCCCCCATAGGGTTTCCAAGGAGCAACTGGTGGATTTCAGCTGCCGACCTTTTGGTTAGCAGCCAAACTCTTAAGCACTGAGCCACCAGGGCTGATATATTAAGATTGTATTTTGTCTCTATTTTATGTCATGAAGAAATAATAACAGATTTTTTAAAACCTTCAAAAATATAGCAGTAAATTTTCATAAATAAATACCATATGAGGAACTCCTTCTTGTTCAACAGTTAGAGGAAATATTCTTTTACAATCACTATAGCCTTCTTTTGACAACTGCCTCAAAGTTCCTACTGCTCCTGTAAAGATTAAACAAAACCATACAAACAAAACTCGTTCTTGATGAGCGGATTCCAACTCATAGTGACCCTACAAGACAGAGTACAACTGCCCCGTAGGGTTTCCAAGGAGTCGCTGGTGGATTTGAACTGCCAAACTTTTGCTTAGCAGCCAAGCTCTTAACCACTGCGCAACCAGGGCTCTGCCTAGAAAATTCTATGAGGAAGTTCTACTGTGTCATATTGGGTTGTTATGAGTTGCAAATTGACTCGACAGCACCTAACAACAATAACAACAGCATGATAAGATAAGAAATAACTTTGTTATTCTAATAAAGTGGTGTTGTCCAGTGATTTTCGGGACATGTATAGGATAGAGGTTTTGTTTGTTTGCTTTTTAATTGTACATAAATTAGGGGATGGGAGGCTGACCTTTTCTGTGTGTGTTTTTTTATATGTATGTGTGAGTGCATGAGATTGCGTATATAGGTTATATAGATACATACTTACGTGTATGCAAATATGTCAACTAATTTATATTTTTTAAGTCATATTGTTTCTGGATAGGGACTCATATTCTTTTTTCAGCTAATCATTGTCACTGTTGTCCAGAGGACTGGTTCTCCTATTCCAACTATTGCTATTATATTAGCAGTGATATAAACAACTGGACTGAGAGTTGGACAGCCTGTCTTTCTAAGAAATCTAATCTGATTTATATAGACAATGAAGAAGAAATGGTAAGATTTCAAGTGTTTGAAATATTTTTTTGGAAGGTATAACATACTAAAAGAAATGTATACAAAATATATTTGAGTGAATAACAACTATCGAGAAACATTACTGATATGCCATATGTTTCCTATGCATCTTAAACAATAAAGATTTGCCTATTTTGCAGGTTATATACAGAGAATTATACTACAGGAAGTGTTTAGTGTCTTACATATTTCAGTTGAAATTGTGTTTTTAGGATTCACCCATATTTTTGTCCATATTGTTTTTAGTTGCCCTTGAATTGACTCCGACCCATGGAGACCTTATGAACGAGGAAAACGTTGTCTGGTCCTGTGCCATCTTAATGGTCATTGGTGTCTCTGAGTCCATTGTTGTCCATTCATCTCACTGAACGTTTCTCTCATTTTCACTGGCCCTCTGCTTTACCAAACGAGATGTCCTTTCTTAGTGATTGGTCTTTCTTTATGACATGTCTGAAGTAAGCAAGCCAAAGTCTCGCCATCCTTGCTTCTAAGAAGCGTTCTGATTGTGATTTTTCTAAGACTGATTTTTCCATAGTTGTGCTTTATTTTTTCCAAGGCTACATAGTACTCCATTGTTTGACTTGACAATGCTTTATTTATATTTTATACCATTAAAATACATTGGTTTATTTCCAGTTCTTGCTATTTATGAAAAACAACACTTCCATAAAACTTTTTCCTAAAATAAACTTTGTTCTTTCATTTGACCATAAACAAATAAATCAAAATTGTGAAGATTAATCACAAGATGAATAGACCCATGTAATTACAAACCAGGTCAAGAAATAGAAAATGGTAACTGCCCTTCCCGCATTAGCTCTGCCCCTGTGTATGCTCTTATCACTTCTTCTTCTTCCCAAACCACTCTCCTGACTTTTATTACAGATTAGCTTTGCTCGGTTTTAAACTTTATATAAATGGAATCATAGAGCATGCATTTTTGAGTATCTCCTTTTACTCACATACAGTATTTGTGCAGGTGAACCATATTGTTGCTGTTAGTTGTAGTTTGTTCATTTTCACTGCTGTGTTGTGTAAGTAAACCCACAAAAGAAAAGAAAAAACCTAACCAGTTGCCATGGAGATGATTCTGACTCACAGAGGCCCATGTGTTTCAGAGCAGAACTGCACTTCAGGAATTTTCAGTGGCTGTAACTTTCAAAAGTAGGTCGCCAGGCTTTTCTTTCCAGGCACCTAACTTTCCTTTAGTGGCCAAGTGCTTAACCATTTTTACCACCAGGAACTCACTATTATGTGAATAAACATTTTAAAATCCATCTTGTGGTGGATACAAATTTAACTGTTATGAAAATACTCAGCTACTATTTAGCTATTATGTGTAATTATTCTCTAAATATCTTTCTGGATGTCTTTTGTCCATATATTACCTAGAAGCACAGGAATGAAATTGTAGGATCATGTAGGATGATAGGTGTATGTACATGTCAATATTTTTAAATTATCCCAACAGTTTACGAGTTCATAGCACACATACACATATTATCGAACAGTGTTTGAACCTGTCCCTTGATCCACGTCCTCATCAAAAGTTAGTTCAATGAGTAATTTTTAAAGTAGAAGTTTTGATTGTTCTACGATAGTATCATTATTATATTAATAGATATTTTCCTAATTATTGTTAGATGGAACACATTTTCATGTGCTGTTAGCCACTAGAACATCTTCTTTAATCAAGTGCCTATTCATGTTTCTTGTCCTTTTTTCCTCTGTGATTGTCAGTCTTTTCCCACCAATAAATTTTTGAGATATTTTGGATATGATCTCTTTTTGATTTGATTACTTTATAATAGTTTTACTTTTCTTTGTGGTTTACATATTTACTGGAGTCTTTTAATTAATATAATTGATTAATATTAGCATAGTCCAATTTTTTATTTATATTATTAGTGCTTATTTTGGAGCTATTTTAGTATTTAATCAAACTTCAATATAGATAATCTGCTAAATTAATCTGTTGGTTTTCTATTTTATGTTTATTTTTTAAATTTTTTTATGAAAATGTTTACTGGTTGATGTATTGTTAGGTGTCGTTGAGTCAGTTCTGATTCATAGTGACTCCAAGTACAACATAACCAAACACTGTCCGGTCTTATGCTGTCATCACAGTCGTTGTTATCTTGAGTCCATTCATTGTTCTAGACACTGTCAGTCCATCTCATTGAGGGTCTTCCTCTTTTTCACTGCCCCTCTATTTTATTAAGCATGATGTCCTTCTCCAGGGACTGGTCCCTCCTGATAACATGTCCAAAATATGGGAAACAAAGTCTGGTCATCCTTGCTACTCATGAGCATTCTGGCTGTACTTTTTCCAAGACAGACTTGTTCATTCTTCTGGCAGTCCATGGTGTATTCAATATTCTTTGCCAACACCATAATTCGAATGCATCAATTCTACTTCTGTCTTCCTTATTCATTTTCCAGCTTTCACATACATATGAGGCTACTGACAACAATATGACTTGGGTCAAGTTCTCCTTAGTCCTCATAGTGACTTGTTTGCTTGTTAGCACTTTAAAGAGATCTTTGGCAGCAGATTTGCCCTACGTAATGTGTCATCTTTCTCTTGACTGCTGCTTCCATGGGCATTGATTAAGACTCCGAGTAAAACGAAATCCTTGACAACTTCAATATTTTCTCCGTTTATCATGACGTTGCTTATTGGCCCAGTTATGATCTATTGGTCCAGATGTATAATCAGTTGAAATTCATTTTTTTGCAATGCTGATAGAAGTTTATACTGTTCTACATCATTATCTAATTGATTGAGCATAATTTATGGTAAAAATGATCGGGAGTATGAGAAGCCAGCAACCTGATAGCAAGCTGATGACTTTGGACCACGTTCATCATGCTATTATGGGATAGGCACTTACTCTGGATATGGATTTGCCTTCCTTGCACACAATACTTCTGCTAAAACTACTGTTGGTGGACTTACAGAATGCCTTATCCACCATCATGGTATTCCACACAGCACTGCCTCTGATGAAAGAACCCACTTCACAGCAAATGAAGTGTGGAAATGGACCCATACTCACAGAATTCATGGTCTTACCATGCTTCTCATAATATTGATGCAGCTGAATTGGTAGAACTGTAGAAAGGCCTTTTGAAAAGTCAGTTATGGCTCCAGCTAGGTGGCAATACCTTGCGGGGCTGGGTAATGTTCTCTAGGAGGTTATATATGCTTCAAATCGTGTCCAACATGTGGTGCTTTTTCTCTCATTGCCAGGATTCACTGGACTTGGAATCAAGGGGTAAAAATGGGAGTAGTATCACTCACTATTAGCCCTAGTGGTCCACTCACAAAATTTTTCTTCCTATGCCTGTGACCCAATGCTCTGCTGGCCTAGAGGTCTTAGTTCCAAAGGGGGCAAACATTTATATATATATAATACATATATATATATAAAACACCCACTATGTGTCTGTCAGTTTGTTGCACTGTGGTGGCATGTGTGTTGCTCTGATAATGGAAGTTTTGCCACTGGTATTTCAAATACCAGCAGGGTCACCCTTGGTGGACAGGTTTCTGCAGAGCTTCCAGATTAAGATGGAGTAGGAAGAAGGACCAGCCAGTCTACTTCTGAAAAAGCTGGTCAGTAAAAACCTTATGAATAGCAGTGGAACACTGTCTTAAATAGTGCCAGAAGATGAGCCCCTCAGGTTGGAAGGCACTAAAAATACAACTGATGAAGAGCTAGCTGTCTCCTCAAAGTAGAGTCAATCTTAATTATGTGGCTAAAGTCAAGCTTCCAGGAACTCAATTTGCTGATGTGGCATGACTCAAAATGAGAATAAACAGCTGCCAACATGCATTAATAATAGGAGCATGGACTGTATGAAGTACAAATCTAGGAAAATTGGAAATTGTCAAAAATGAAATGGAAGGCATAACATCGATATCCTATGCATTAGTGAACGGAAATGAACTGCTATTGACCATTTTGA